CCACCCTCCCCCTCCCTCTCTGCTGCTGCTGAGGTGGTGTGTTGTTGCTCGCCGCTTCGCCTTCGCTCCCGCGCTTCCTCCTCAGTTGCCATCGACAGCTCCGCCTCCAAGCAAGCTGCTGCTCTCGCCGTCGCACCTGACAACAGGATCCTCCATCTTCAAAACTTTCAAGTGTACTGAAGGCACAGGTAAGCATAGAAGTGCAAGAATGCGCGTGTCGTCGTGGGGCCTTATTTTCTGCTTCAAGTGCGTGAGTGAGTGACTACACGGCGTTGTCTGCCTGGTGCTTTGCAGGGTGACACCGGTATCGGAGGGCAGTCTCCAGGGACCTTTTTTGGTGTCAATCATGCCTTACTTCTCATTGATCAACCACTCGTCCTCGGATGAAGACGATGATAGCAGTGATAGTGGGCAGGGCATGGACTGCCTCCCCGAGCGCAAGCTGCCCCAGCTGAGGCTCGGCTCCGAGTTGTCCTCCAGCGACTTCAGCAGCAGCTCGTCCGGCCTCGGAGGACAATCTTTTGTGAAACCAACGAATTATGTCTCTAGTGGTAGTAGCAATGTTCCCCAGTCTGCTTCCACTATTGAGGCTGTTATTGAATCTGTTATTACTCAGGGTAAGAAATTTTTGTACTCGCAAGACTTATTTTTGCTTTTATCCAAACCATTGTTTTGCACACAATTATCTGACAGGACCCTTATTTGCAGGAATGAAACTTGCAACTGATTCTTCTAATGATAGCCCTACCAAATGCAGCGAACCTGCAACAGGTGAAAGTGGACTTGCGAAAGTAGCAGGGGGCACTGCAGTACCCTGGGATTCTCTTCTGTTGGGAGGCACCATAGAGACAAGTTGTCCGGAGATATTGACATATGTTGAAAGTGACACATATTATGAAGATTGCAAGCTTGCCGGTGATGTGGCTTTGAATTTGCTTGCGAACTATCAAATGCCAGTTTTTAACAGTCTAAGGAACTGCAATCAGAACCAAGTGACTTCTGCTCTGGTGCGTATTTTCTAAAAGCACCCTATGTTTTATTTTGTGTTTTTTGGTATAATTGTTTTAGGCAGTTATTTTTTGGTCTTTTGTTGCTATGATATAAAAAATTTAACT